TCATTAGACTACCCAGCCCATGAATAGGTCTAATTGCTATGTATTAAAGCAGATCCTTCAATAAAGTGTTATACAACCTTATTCTAAGGCATATTATACTGATACTCATGACTCAAATGATACTCTTAGGCCTCGTTCATTTTTTAGGAAGCCATTTATTACCCAGGTAAGTGCATCTATCCACATTCTTTTATTTTTTAGGTAAATAAGATAATGATTATTTTAGCCATAAAAAGCCATTGTTAAGAGGGGCAATTTTGTCCCATCTAAATATTCACAACTTTTCCCCTAGGTGGGAAAGTTACTTACCCAACTAGGAGATAGGTATGCCTAGGGGAAATGAATTTTTTCATAGATTCCCACATAATTTTGAACAAAGAACATAGGTATCTCAGTTAATGGGAACCAAAATCCTATTGTTTGATTTTCTCCCCTCTCAAAATCTGAAAAATGAACATGGCCTTAATAGTAGATAGGGTTGTCAACGGGTTAAATCAAGTAGAATCGAATCTGCCCAAACAAGAAATACTAAGGCCTCAAAACTGAACCATATTGGGTCTAAATTGGTTTGAGATTGGATAGAATCGAAATCAAATCATCGGTTCCAGTACATGGAACCAGAACTGACCCAATCGTTTGGGTTAATTGGGTCTATCAGGTCCAACTCGACCCATTGACATCACTAATGGTAGCACATCCCATTGAATCAATATTTTAATTATTGATCCAAATAGTAGGAGGTTGCAAGGTTTCACCTCCAATCGGCCTAATTAAGAGGAGTGGCTGAAAACAACCTCAAGGCTAGGCATGATGGTTGTATAGTGGGCTGTGGAACCAGTGATAACGCTTCATGCCACAAAAATTTTGGGTGTTTGAAAAAAAAATAGTTTGTCTATTTTCCAGCTTAATGCAAATGACACTTACCAAACTCAGGTTCTTGTGTCTTAATCATTGGCTTGACAACCTACTCAAAAGCTAATCCTATGTTAGCTACTACATAGCCGGATTTTGGCATCAAAAATTGCTTAACGGAGAGCTGGGAGATGGCACATTGATCAACTTTGAGGTATATATATATACATATATAGATCAATAACAAGAAACTTTATTAAAGATATGAAACTATGTGAAGCTTAGGTACAAAGGGGAGGTAAAAAGACTTAACTCCCCATCAAAGAGTACAAGGAAAAAGTAAAAAATTAGCCCAAAAAAATGAATCCCTATTCACCCCTTGCTTTGTTAACCCATCAGCAAAGGAATTAGTAATCCTCTTCACCCAGTTGTAATGAACCACCATATCCCTACTCAGCCATTTAAATTTATTMTTCTCATTGTTATAACTCCATAAGCCGTTGTCTCCCCCTTTTACCACCTAATCACCACCTCTGGGTTACCTTCAAGGACCAAACATCTGATGTTCAGCTCCCTTGCTCTTTGGATACCTTCTAGGGCTGCGGGGATCTCAGCCCTAAGAGAGTCTCCTTCCCCAATTGGACCTAAAAACATAGCAATAATAGCCCCCACCTCATTCCTGAATACTCCCCCAATCCCAGAAGGCCCTGGGCTCCTTAAACAGCTGCCATCAAAATTCAGTTTTATGAACCCAGAAGGAGGGGACCACAAAGGACTACAGCTCCTCTTACAGAGGGCAGAGGAAGCTATCTCCTTCCAATTTCTCACCAAATCAGCCACAAAATAATTTGAGAATAGTTCCATAGTTTTCAACCAATGTGCCACCCTTAACAGAATTAGATCTAATAAGTTTCCAATGGTTCTTTCCTTATATGAAAATATTTGTGAGTTTCTTTCTTCCCATAGAGTCCAACACACTATAGCCCTGATTGCTCAAATGCTTGAGGGAGGCTAGAAAGAACCTTGCTTAGGCTTAGGGCCTATTTGTTTGCTCTAAAGTCTCACATCAGAAAGTGCAATAATTACATTAAGAGGTATATTGGTATCGGTGAACTTTTATTTTCTTTGAATTCTGAATGCATATAATGTTCTAAATTTTGAATTCTCAATTCTGAAAATGATCAAATATCCATTCTGACCTCATATATGAGAGTTTTTTTTTTGTCTTTTTGAGGGTATCATTGGAAAACAAAAAGTTGTATGATTGAACTTTAAGAGATAAGAGATAAGAGGAAACAAACAACCATTTTTCTCTTAAAGTTAAAAGATTCCTCTTAAGATATAAGAGTTAAGAGGAAATGAACAGGCCCTTAGAGTACCAAGTTTTTGAGTGATTATTTGATTGAGATGTGAAAGTTTGGAGAAGGGCTTGATGATGTCCAAAAGTCAACAATAAATGTGAGATTGTTTGACACACACCTCGGATGTTGGTTATTCTGTAAACCTCGGGTGAGGAGACTGATGGTCAAATCAGATGAATGTAAGGGAGAGAGGGAATGAGGGAATAAGTAGGAGGTGTGCAAGGTGAGTGATTATAGTAAGTGTGGTGGATAAGTGAGTAAGTGCATACCATTATACTGACAAAGTGACTTGCCTCTCAATATTGACTTGATTGATTAGCCCACAACACATGTCCGAGATCTCAATTCACTTATTTTATAGTGTGTTGACACACCACCATACGTGGTACAATGCTAGGCTTCGCTTTCAGTTTTTGTTGGCTATATGGGGTTGTGACATCATTGGTGGTGCTCTTGTTGCTACCACTTATCCTTTTCAGCCTAGCATCGAGTCCAGATTTTCTCCTCACACCAACCACACAATGCATTTCAGCTGCACATTAGGAACATCTCCGGTTCATTGTGTTGTTATTCATGGGGAGATATTCCCAATATATGGTGGAATGGGGCTATGAGGTCGATGTGAGGTGCGCTTTGTGAAGAGCAAATCTTGATTCCTTAGTGCCCTTCTCACATAGTTGAGTATCTAGTGGGGTTTGGGTGATCTAATTGGTTTGAGATGGCTGATGTGGATGAGGTGTTCTCTCGAGTTGAAGTGCTTATTATCAAGGTTTTAAAAATAGACCCGAAAACTAAAGCATTCTAGCCATCGTTTTCTAGGTTAGTTGTTTGATTGTGTAGGTCAAACGAGTCAAGCGGTTTGGAATATTAGGACAAATAAGATTTAGGTGGTTAGTCTTTTGTAAGAAAAAATAGTTGGTTGTTGGTTGAGAAAGAAATAAAGAAAGAAAGAAAGAAAATATGAAGGAAAGAAAGGAATGAGAGAAAGAAAAAAATGAAAGAAAGAAAGGAGGAAAAAGGAAGAGGAGGAGGAGAATCTGATGTTCACAGTGATGACGATCGCGACGACAATGATGACAACAACAAAAAACACAAGGCAACCATTCGGATCTATGCGAGATCTCAAATATAAGATCTCTACAATATTGCCTTTTTGTTCTCTCTTTCTCTTTTTGTGGGATCTTAGTGATCTCATATCTGAGTTCATTCTGGTCCAGTCTCTTCTCATCTTTTAATCTATTCTGCATCTTATTAAAATGTGAACCACTGTATGGGTTGAATTGGTTGACGGTTTGTTTCACTTGGATCAATGATTTTTGACCCAAGAACAAGTTGAGAGTGAAACAGAATCTGTTGCCTAGACGGTTTCCGGGCCAAACGATCTGACCATCCAAGTCAACAATGGCTCAAAAACACTACTCGATAGAGTTCATATCTCCACCCCATAACGTCCCACAACACATCCCCGCCGTGAGACCGGATCTTCTCCTCACACAAGGTGCCTCACACCGACCTCACAAGCACATCTTACCATGCATTGGGAACGTCTCTCGTACTTGTAAGTTATTATTCACTGGAGATGTTTCCAATGCACGATGGATGTGCCTCTGAGGCGTCCCATGTGTGAGCAGCAGATCCTGTTCCCCCGCCGTGTATTGGGAACATCTCCTGATGATGACATCATAGTTATTATTCATGGGAGATTCCCAATGCATGATGGATGTGCCTTTAAGGTTTCCCATGTGTGAGCAGCAGATCCTGTTCCCCTGCTGTGTATTGGGAACATCTCCTGATGATGGCATCATTGGGTCTGGTACTATCGCCGGGAGATGTTCCCAATACATGGTGGAGATGTGCTGTGGAACGTTGTGAGGTGGCCCCATGTGGGGCGGAGGTATACATGTGTCAGGGATGCGGGTGCAACGTTTCGATTAGGGCTGTTCACGGGTCGGGTTGGGTCGGTTTACTGAGATTTTTTCAACCAACCCGACCTGGTCGGGTTACCTGAAATTGAAACTGAAACCGACCCTGTGTTAAGCAAAATTGACCTAGTCGGTTTGAGTCGGGTTGGGTCGGTTTTGGCTCTAAGTTCAACTATGGTAATAAATTGGTAGATTAAAGAAAGAATACTGAAATTTGATGTAAAAAAGGACACCTAATTCTATTAGAGAAAGAAGACTGAAATTGGTAGGGGGCGGACCAAGTTAGAATAGAAGTTATCAAGAAAATAGAAAGTCAAACTGTATTAGAGAAGAAGACCGAAATTTGTATATTTCAAGAAACCTTCTAATCTAAGTAAAAAAGGACATGTAAAAGACCATAAAAACTAGGATCCTTTGATTATTTTCTTTGAACTTTTCCAAAAAAATTGCGTGTCTAGTTGTCTTACAATACTTAACATTAACGTCATTCCTAACTATAAGACTAGAAATTAAGTCTGGTTGTAACTAGGATAGAGACAACTAAGTTAAGTAGGAACTAAGTAGGTTGTAAATACTAACTAGGAACTAACTACTAACTACTAAGTCGGTTCGGTTCGGTTCGATTTTGATTTTCATATGTGAAAACCGAAATCGACCCGAACCATCGATTTATGATTTTTTACAACCTAAAACCGACCGGTGCTAAAAAAAACCCGGCCGATTCAGGTTGGGTTGGGTCGGTCTGAGTTGATCGGTTTGGTTGGGTTGGGTCTTCTTATAAACAGCCCTAATTTCAAGTCCTAATTGGCTATTAGTTCTGGCCGTATGAGTGGTGTGAGCACCGAAGCCGATTTCGTATAAGGGGTATATCAAACTTTTGATGGTTCTACTTCTAGGTAGGTCAGTTCAGGGGAGTTTATGGAGTTCAACAAAGAAAATTCGGTGCCCAACTTCTTCGGGTTTTATAGTGCAAGGTCGAGGACAATTCCCGCCAGATCTTCTCTCTCATTAACCGTTATCAATACTTGAATTTCTAGTTTCAAATGAGATGAGAACATGGATCCTTCAGCGGGGCGTCTCATCGTTTTCGTTTTCGCATCTGAGAATCCCCGCTGCTTCTCAATTCAACGATCTCCTTCAACGTTGCAGCGACTCAGTCGCATTAAAACAAGGGAGGCAGGTTCATCAGCAGATCATCCTCCATGAGTTGGCTTTCGATCCATTCACGGTTACCAAGTTGGTCCAGATGTATGCGGCCTGCAACGATTTGATATCTGCTCGTATCTTGTTCGATGAATTGCCCAGACCCAATGTGTTTGCTTGGACCTCAATTATTTCCTTCTATTCAAGGAATGGGATGTTCAAGGAGTGTGTACGAACATACAATGAGATGAAATTACAGGGTATCGGACCTGATGGGTATGTCTTTCCCAAGGTGCTTAGGGCTTGCACTCAATCCTTGTCCTTGGCAGAGGGGATTCGAATACACAAAGATATAATTGAACTTGGTGCTGAACATAATCTTCAGGTCTGTAATTCCTTGATTGATATGTATTCCAAATGTGGGGATGTTCAAACAGCTCAACGGATTTTCAATGGAATGGCTGAAAAAGATCTGCTAACGTGGAATTCAATGATTTCTGGGTTTGTCTGTAATGACTTTCTTGATATTGCTATAGAACAGCTAGATGCAATGAGATCAGAAGGCTTTGAACCGGATTTAGTCACTTGGAATACCATTATGGATGCTTATTGCCGTATGGGGCTGTGCAACAAGGCTTTGGAAATCTTTGAACAAATTAGGGAGCCTAATATCATCTCATTGACCACCTTAATCTCAGGTTATTCAAGAATTGGGAACCATGAGATGCCCTTAGTGATCTTCAGAGAGATGATGAGTAAACAGGAGGTTTGCCCCGACCCTGATGCTCTTTCCAGTGTCCTTGTTTCATGCCGACATATGGGGGTTCTGAGAAGTGGACAAGAAATTCATGCCTATGGGATCAAAACCAGTGCCAGGATTGAGTTTTACAATTCATCAGGACCTGCACTGTTGACAGTGTATGCTACGTCTGGGAGGCTTAGGGATGCAAGAAATGTATTTCAATTGATGGATAAATCTGATGTTGTTACCTGGAATGCCATGATTCTTGGTCTTGTGCATCTTGGATTGGGTGACCTTGCAATTAAATATGTCAGGGAGATGCAATCAAGAGGGCTTCAGTATGATGAGACCACTGTGTCAACAGTTCTGCCAGTCTGTGATCTGAGATTCGGGAAACAAATCCATGCCTACATTAGAAGAAATGCCTTGGATTCTGCAATTTCAGTGTGGAATGCATTGATCAACATGTACTCTAAATGTGGGTGCATTAGATCTGCTTACACTGTATTCTCGAAAATGGATTCCAGAGACGTGGTATCCTGGAATACAATGATTGGAGGATACGGAATGAATGGGTGTGGGAAGGCTGCTCTTCAACTTTTGTTAGAGATGAAGCAGTCAGGCTTTCAACCCAACTCTGCAACTTTCACTTCTCTGCTTTCTGCTTGCAGCCACTCCGGTCTTGTGGATGATGGGCTCCAACTTTTTGATAGTTTGATCAATTGTTTTGACTTCAGTCCAAGAATGGAGCATTTTGCATGTGTTGTTGATTTACTGGCCCGTGCAGGGAAGCTTGAGGAAGCAGTTGATTTCATACACAATATGCCGATTAATCCTGATAAAAGTATTTGGGGGGCTTTGCTTTCAGCCTGTCAAGCCCATCAAAACATCAATTTTGGAAGGCTAGCTGCAGAACATCTATTCCACTTAGAACCAGAAAACCCTGGAAATTATGTGACACTGTCAAATATATATGCCAAAGCTGGCAGATGGGATGATGCGGTAAGAGTAAGAAAACTAATGGAGGAAAAGAGATTAATGAAGCCATCTGGGTATAGTTGGATTGAAACAAAGACTAACAAATCTGGACTCAAGGGGATAGCTCAAGATAATGTCTTACAGCTTTAAATTGAAGTGTTTATGTCATAACAGAAAATGATAAAATTGGTTCCATTATAATGAAATTATATTGTTGCACATGATTTCAATGATCAATTACCTTATTTGTTGCAGCAAAGCTAATATTAATGTTAGTTACAAACAGTGTTCGTTGGTTACCCAATTTTCCAAGTTCATACAGAACCACCAAATATTGTACTCTTGGAAGTTGGAACCATTACAGAACTAGGAAAAATTTAGGCCTCATTTGGTTTGCGGGAATAAGGGTCTGGAATTGGTTGGGTGGAATTAGAATCCCATTTCCATTCCTGCTGGAATGGCATTTCCCCATTTGAGGGAATGGCCATTCTCATTTCTGTCTAAACCAAACAGATTATGGGAATTAACTATTCCAATTCCGATTCCGATTCCGGATGATTTTGATTCCGATTCCGACTACGAACCAAACGGATCCTTATAAAAAAAAACAAAAATATTAAGTGGATAAAGCACAGCATCATAACGTTGACAGTTTGACACTTGCCAACTCTTCTCCCTGCTTTCGGTTTCTGCATTTACCAGGTTCTCAATTGGATGCATCAATATGGTTATAACTAAGGGTCTGTGGTTCACAGTTGGCATCAGAATGGGAATCGAAATCCTTTGGAATCAGAACCGGAATTGAAATGATTCGTTCCCATAATCTATTTGGTTCAGACAGAAATGGAAATGGAAATGAGAGTAAGCAGGAATGAGATTTTATTCCCAAGGAAGGGGCATGGAATGGCCATTCCCTCAAATGTGGGAATTCCATTTCAGCAGGAATAGAAATAGGATTCTGATTTTGTCCAAGCAAACAGTTGGAATCGAAATAGCTCATTCCGATTCCGATTCCAGATCCCTATTCCCACGAACCAAATGAGGCCTAAAAGAAATTCAAAAACAAAAATATTTAATTTCTCCCTCCTTGATAAACTAAGAGAAAACAAAGTGTCGTATGCTGACAATATTCAAATGCTTACCCACAGAATTTTTATCATATTCCAAAACCCTAGTTTTAAGAGGGCTCTCAAATTGAAATCTTTTCAGCATTCAGCCCTTAGTTCAGTTGTCAGAAACCAATTTGTTTCCTTAACCCCAGGGCTCAATACAGAACGTTGATTCCAAGGGAATTTGAATCTTGCAGAAAATGTGCTAGTTCGATCTTGCATTAGGTGGGATTTTTTATATAGTGGCGGTTTGTTATATATTCTTATCCATTTTTTTTTTGGGTGCAATGTGAGTAGTTCTCATCCATGTTTGCATTTTCTACACCCCCTCAGTCACAATGTTGTATTATGCGTATCAATGTATGAGTCCAAAAATAAAAAGCCAAAATAAATCCTAAAATATGACAAACTCTTATAGTTTTAAAAAGTTAAAAAAATTAAAATCCCATCTAATTTTCAGCATGGATTAGACACTCTAAGAAAATTATAGTTACTCTTATGTTTACTGGCAGGAAAGAATGCCCACTCACAACTATGCTTATTTTTGGTGAATCCGAATTTTCCTCCTCACAGAATGCTCCTCAAAGCACTTGCTTTGGGAACATCTCCCCATGAATGAAAACAAACAAGTATGAGTCTATGGGGGGATGTTCTCAATGTATGGCTGCAATGTTATGTAAGGTGGGTGAGAAGATCATTCTCCGAGCAGGAAATCCGAACTCATTTTTCCTACAAATCATGTTTAGGTGTACAGAATTTTTTTGGGGGGGCTCATGAATATGACTATATTGTTGTATTTTAGGGAAAATTCCACTTTAGTATACTGAACTTTGGGGGTTAGTGTCAAGTTAGTATCCAAACTTTGGAACGTGCCACTATAGTACCTAAACTTTCAAAAAGTGTCAAGTTGGTCCCTACCTTTAACCAACCGTCAATTATCTATTGAAAATGTCAAAACTACCCTTCAAAGGAAGACACTGTTCATTGTTTTTTACCTTGAGACTAAACTGGTTATCTTCAAACAAAAAGAGAGAAAAAACATGAAATATGATAGAGGGAAACAATAACTTAAAGCAAAGAAATAACTAGACAATAATATATTTCAGATCTAAAGGTAGAAGACAATGACTTTATTAGTCTAAAATCTCAAACACCTCAACCGGTTCAATCTCAAGGTAGAAGACAATGAACAATGTTTTCTTTTGAAAGATAGTTTTGACATTTTCAATAAATAACTGACGGTCGGTTAATGGCAAGGACCGACTTGACACTTTTTGAAAGTTTAGGTATTGCAGTGACAAGTTTCAAAGTTTGGATACTTGATACTACCCCAAAATTGAAGATATTAAAGTGGAATTTTCCCTTTTTTATCGATTAACAACTGTGTTTATCTTCCCATTTTGTTGCATAGCAAGTGTACAAAGCACATCAGGAAGAGAGAATTGCTGGCACCGGTCCTTACTAAACTTCTTTCTTGGAGTAAATTGTTGTTGTTAAAATCAGGGTAGCATGTTAATAGTTGATATGTCTGTGAAAAATATTTTTTTGGAATCTCTTGTCACTTGGTATTTCACCCAGATCTACTCTCTACTCTGCTCATAAAAAATCATGTTTCTTCTGCACTACTTAGTCGCTTTTGAGTTTGATGGCTGATTTGTTTATTTCCAGTCAAATTTGTTGATTTTCCAAATTAGAACATTACAATTGAGTTATGAACTAGGGAGAGATTTAGACTAATTTATGGTGTTCTCTCTAACAGAAAGCACTTGATTCTCTCATTGATAGTCATATTGCGGAATCTGTATCGAGGTTGCTTCCTGTGCAACAAAATTTACTATCGGGTACTAGTTTTCGATCCATGCAGAATAATTGACATGTCCACCCTCTTTTGATGATGATCAAGACGTGATGTTGGTTAGACTCTGTACACAATTTTCCTTTGATTTAAGTAGTGACATAAATCATTAAGAGAATTCAGAAATAATGTTGGATTTTTTCATAGTAGAAAACACGACAGTCTGTAATCCTCCTAAGTTTCCCTTTCTTTTATTTATTGGCCTAATATTTGAGCGTCTTGTTCGGGTTATGGTTGAGCTGGCTCTGGATGTCATGTGTCGCTCTGGGCCCATCTTATCCCATCGGTCATGTTAGCATTACGCTGCTTCCTCAGTCCATCTTATCTCTTCAGCTACGCCAGCACCATGTCATGTGGAGAAGCACGACCAAGACAGGAGATTATCGCACGGAAAGGGACATTGGGGATTAGGACTTATCTTGAAGACCTTTGCGAGCAACCTCATCCCGACAACCCTAGAAGCTTCATCCGATCAGGACACAGATTTTCGGCTATAAAAATGTACCTCCCTCTCAAGGTAGGGGATCCAACTTTTGACTCTCATACTGTTACTCTGCTCGGACAACACTGTTCTCTAACCACTCGACCCGACTGCCCACCATTTTTTTACTGACTTGAGCGTCGAAGTATCTACCCGGGGATAATTCCTCGGGCCTCTAACTGTTTTCTTGGTTTTAGATCTTGGAGCGTGATTTCATCCTTCTACCTCAGTTCCGCCCAATTGATAGAATTATCTGACTAAGACATCGGTTCAAGAACTACCTTGGATTGAGCAGCATCGCGTCTGATTCTCTCTTTAGTGATTTCCAATTATTTCTTCACTAGAATTTGTATTATTGAATTTTCTTTTTTCACATCTCAAAACCACGATATCCCTATTGATTCTGAAAGGGATTCTTCAAACTCTCTGATTAGTTGAAATCCTGTGGCACAATGTCTTCAGGTCCTACATTCTTTAGTCTTTATCTGGTTTATGCACAATTTATCAACAACACCTCTTTCTATGAATTAATGAAAATCCTCTTTCCTTATATATCGAAGCTGGGTTGTTTTTCTTCTGGGCTTCGTTTGTTGCAGTTCAATTTCATTCGTACTGGTGCAAAATTATGAGGTTGCAAATGAGTTGAGAGTAAATTCTAGCTCACATTTATTAAGTTCAATTTGTTCCCATTCAATGGCCTAAGAGCAAACCCAAGAAGGCCATTCAATGGCCTAAGAGCAAACCCAAGAGCCAAATACTTCCCAGAAATGCAGTTGGTTGTGGTTCTTGTTTCTTTTTCTCACCTGGGTTGGATCTGATGATGCTGAAGTGAAGGTCGGCATTATCATCCTTTCTTTCCCCCTTATTACTAGTTAAGGACGCTACCGTATTGAATGAAGTTCCAACTTTTATAAGCAAAGAAACTTTAGAACCATTATTCACATCTCTCTATACAAAGCTGGGAATTCAACTGTGAAATTAGAAATGAAGTGCTTGTTGTGGAATTTCAGCACTCCCCATTTTCTTTCTCAGTTCAATCCTCCATGGTTGAATTGTTTAAGTAACTGGAGGAGAAAAAGAAGTTATGATAATAGGTCATCCTTCTATTACATTTACACCCCATTTTCCTACAGAACTCGACAACCAGAATCTAAACTTCCGCTCTCCCGGCCTGACTCGGACATGCAACATTCTCCCATTGCTTAACCAGATCGGCATAACCCTCTGCCGAGCTAACGGCAAACTCTGACAGAGAGCTCATGGCAACTGACATCCCAGCACAGAGAACTCTGATGGCAACCTCAGCCATCTTCTCTGCTGTCATTGAATGCAAATTCTCCTCCAAACGCCCCATCTCCACCACCTCCAAATTCCCACCAGAAAATCGCTTAGACCCCGTTGTGGTTCGGCGAGAATCTTCCCTTAGCTGCTGTGTGTAGACCGACCCCACCCCTGCTGCAAAGAAATCCAGCCCATCGATCACAGGGACCTCTCGGATGGAATCAAGGAATCTGGACCATTGAATGCAAATTCCAAATATGGGAGGAGCCCCACCGGAGCGGCGAGGAGAGAAGGGAAACTTCGACGTCTCGGGCTCAGACCGGACGCACCGGAGGAGCCACCCGGTGAGTGCACGCACATAGGATCGCTGAGATGCGATCCATGACTCGAAACAGGCTCGCCAATTCCGGAGCTCTGTCTCAAGATTGGCTGCTGATCTAGCCAGCCTGTGTGGTTCACTCGGTGCCATTTCGGTGTGTTTCGGCTTCGCCAGTTTTGGTGGAGTACCGGCCAGTAGGAGCTTGGCTTCGTCTATTGTGCGCTTCTGGGTGCGGTGACACTCTGCCATCACTTTCCACATCCTCGCCAACCTGTTCAGTCATGATCAGAGATTCAGAGATAGTTGATAACCAAGATTAAGTTGATTGGATGATCATAACTGGGCCCCTGTTTGCCAGGTTCTAGCTTGTTGGACCTATTGGATGGTTGATCCGTTGGGTCCACCATTAAGCCGGTTCTAAGTCTGATTCACGTAACATCTTACTGGTGTAAATGCATAGGAGTGCAAATTAATTGACTGTAAATTCTGGTTTACTTTTGTTTTGGCATTTTTTTTTGTGCGAGGAATAAACTGAGAAGTAAATAATATGTTCATTTGAGAGGAGTGAATTCAGTAAGTAAAATCATGTGGTCCGCACTTTGATTGATAGAAAATCAAGGTAAGAAGAAGGTGGTCCAAACTCAAAATTTTGCATCAGTTTCTAGGATACAAAATTTGCATTTCCAATACTGCATATGAGACAGTAAAAGTGCAATTCATAGTCACAAACACAAGAATGCAAAGTCTGAGCTAGGTGCAAAATCTGTGTCAGGTTCACTTTTGCACTGGTAACAAGCAGAGCCTCATATGTGTTTTGGCATTTACTGGTGGCAGTCGAGGGTTTAGCAATGGCATTTAGTGGGTTGGCATCTGCTGAAAACTGTTCAAACTCATTCAATGAAAAAAGAAATAATAATAGAAGCATTAATCCAAGTATTTATTTTTATATATAATATGGGGAAGGTCAACTAAGCATTGGATGATGAATGAATGAACAGTTTGAAACTATTTTTCAGACCGTTGGGTGGCCTGAACAGTTCAGTTGCCCGGCCTAAACCCATTTTCAGGTCACTGATAAGTGATTATATGAAGAAGTTGGGATGAGAATGAACAACATACCCTTGTATCAGTTCCAGTAGCTGTGGCTGCAATTCTTCATCCCTTAAAGTTTCAATTCTTTTTGAAACTGCTTCAACAGAGTGTATTGAGACCTTGATCTGTGTATGCAAGTCTCTAATAGCTGCTCTTGTTTTATCCACTACAGAAGGGTCCTCTCCTTTCACATCCTGGTTCCTAAGTTGCATGCACTTCTTCTCATAGGCGATGCGAATCCGTTCACCAGACTGTTGATGCAATGCAATCACAACAATGTCACTATTCTATTCCATGGATGTGGAAGAATTCTAGCCTCTTGGGTGTGGGGTTAAATTCCAAAGCATACCTTGACTTCCTCGTAGAGCTTCTTCTCCCAAGAATATAATCTGTCTAGAGTTGATTGGTGACTCCCTGAGAACATACACGATTCCTCAGAGAAGTCACTGCTGCTGTCATAAGCTTCATCCCTGGAACTAGAAGAATTGTTGAGAAATCTTGATGAGGATGAACGCGATGAGGCTGAACGGAATAATGCAACCGGATTTAGAATTTTGGCAGCTGCACCAAAAAGGGAATAGCTCAGTTGAGTTTTGTGAGTTCGCTCATAGGTCAGCAATGGTGAAGACATGCATTCTGAATTATAGCTTTGTGGTAATTTTTACTTTCTATTATTAATCTATGGATTGACTATCAGGATAAAGCAGGTAGATGAATACAGTTGGGGTATGATCTGCTTTAGTTAGTAATTAGAGTTTATTCTAATATTGAAAATTATATACAGAAATCATATATCTATTGAAATTGTGGAAGGCAGAATTTATATGAAGGTGCAGAACTAAACAGAAGGTTTTTGAATTCGCATACCTGTGAGTTCATGTGAAGGTGTGGCATACTGAGCTTTGCTAGCCTCCAGCATGGTTGAGATCTCTTTAGCTGAATTACAAACTATCATGAACTGAGTCTCTAGGCCCTTGATGACTTCTGCCATGCTAGTTGGTCTTTGGTTTACATAGACTGTAAACCCAGGTGTTTCTTCCTTGGGTTCTTGATCAACAATTGCTGTCTCTTGTGTACTCACTTCAAGTTCTACTGCATTTTGTGATTCTGATACTTCAATGCCCTCGGTACCATGAAACTGTAGTCCTTTAACTTCATGCTCGGTATCAGTTTCACTTTCAGTTTCAGAAGCGTCTTCCACGATTACTGCTTCCCTATCACAATTCAAGTCAATTTTAGTTCTTTCCTCCTTCATTTCTACCCTCTGATCTTCCTTTCCTTCTTCTTCTTCTTCTTCTTCTTCTTCTTCTTCTTCTTCTTCTCTATCCACTTCTTCCAAATCAGGAATCCCTTCTTCTTCTCTGACTTGCCTTAAGCCTGTGATCTCATCATCCATTATAGTGTGATCGATACTACTCCGGGTGGGATACCCATATGTTTCCAATGAAGAAAATGGATTCCAAAAGAAGTCCCATTGGGAAGTCTGGGGCGATGGGGGAGGATAACTAGGCCTATTATTTGGAGATGAAGAGAAGAAGGATGAATTCATGGGTGAAGACTGCATTGCGAAGAATCCATCAATCCCAAAATGGTGCATTGATGAGTATGATTCAACTCTCACAGTCTCTGGGGAGTGAGGCCTCTCCTCAACAGAAACTGATGGATTTCCACCCGACCTCAGGTAATTCACCTTGAAAGATGAATTGGTCTCGGATTGAAGTGATGGTGTGGAGAAGGATTTTGATGAAATTGAGATGATATTTGGACCAATTTTCTTTATGGGAGTGAAAGGTGGTGTGGTGTATGAATCCAAGAAAAACTCACGGGGCTCATCTCCCTCAACATAATCACGAAGCGCAGCAGAGACCCGTTTCAAGGACTGTATATAAGCAACATGCCCATAAGCAAATCTGATTCTCTGCTCAACAGCCTGTTTAATAAATCTCTTCCTGTCCTTACAAAGCTGGACGGCCTCTTCATTGTCCAGCCTTGAAGAAGAGCATCCCATCTTGCTCTTTTGCTAGCCTTCTCTCTCTACGAATTTTTCAATCTCAGATCGAAGCCGAAATTATAGGGAGAAGACCATGTACTTTCAACCAAATTCATAAGGATATTGAGAGTCTGAACAGGAAAGAGGAGAAATGTGAGATTCTTAATTCATGACTGAGCATTGCAATACATGTGAACATGAAGAAACAGAAAAGAGCAGAAAGAAGTTATTCCTGAGGAATCTTGTTCAGCATCTTATATTTAAAAGTGTTTTTGGCGGATTAAACTAACAAAGTTATGTGAATGAGCATTGAAATATATATGAACAGCAAGAAACAGAAAGAAAGGAACACAAAGAAGTTATTCTTGAGGAATCGGGTTCAGCATCTTATATTTAAAAATGAATCTTTGATGGATTAAACTAACAGAGACATTATTCTGAAGATATGGGGTTCTTTTCTTAAACAAATCATAATGAAGAATAAGGAACATATCAAACTTACATCAAGAAAAAGTGGTGGAGATTCTTTTGACTCTTCTGTTCAATTTCCTCTTGTGCAAAGCAATGGCTTCAAAACTTCATATCCAGCTTCAGAAGCAATGGGATTCACAGAAACTGGAAAGAAAATAAGAAGACATAAATAATCTTCTCAAAGAGTTTAGCAACAAAAGCATCAGGGTTTACGCCTGGTTTAATTTTCTAAAATAGAAATGAGCGGAAGAAAAACAGGATATTTGCAAAATACAAGAAAATTTGTTTTTTAATTAGAAAAGAAGAAAGACCTGAAAAGCAAATGAGAAATAGTAGATAAAGTGAAATCTGCAAGAAACCCTTAGCAACAAAGCCATACAAAACCTAATTCTTTAGAAGAATTTATTGAAAAGTCTATGACTGGAATTCAACAAAAGCAAAACAAGATGAACACAAAAAGAGAAAAAGAGTACCCATTGTCGAATACAATCAATCACATGGACAAATCTGGCAAACTGGGGGTAAAACAAATATTTCGAGGTCAAGAAAACAAAATTATCTTTTAATGGTAAGTTTGCATTTTACAAAAATAAATACTATGTTTATTATCAAATATACTCTTAAAATTATTTGACAGCTGCAAAAGCTATGAGAACATTAAAAATCACCAACCCCACAAAAGAAGAAGAAGAACAACAACAAAATAATGAAAATTCACTAAATTAAATAATAATAACGAACCAATAATGCATAACAAACAAGAATTAGAGAAAACCAGTTTCCGAATTGCTTTTAATGATATCGGTTTCTAAAAATTCCAAAAGAAAATATGAATATTTTTTAAGCTCTTAAGCTCATGGGAAAAAAAAAAACAAAAGAAAAAAAGAAACGAATTCTTATTAAAAATGAGATTTTGGCAATGCAATCAACTTTGTAAGACCAAATAAATGAAGTCATGTCGTAGACCAAAAGCGGAATCAAACTAAAGCTCATTATCAAAACAAACGTTAATGATGAAATATATCTAGCGAAACTCCAAAGAACAGAACTGTTAATATTCAACACTCAGGGAATCAGAAAAAAAAAAAAAAAGCCCATGTTAAAAATGATAACTTTTTTATCATAAATTTTCCGAAAATGATGAAGATACATACTCAGAGAAAACCAGAGGAAAAAAGGTCTGTTTTGAAGAAATTAATGCCTTTTAGATGAAATGAACCGAACTACAAAAGCAGAGGGAGTTCAACTGGTTAGATGTCTCTGTTACTTGATTTCTTCGAACAGTTTGTGCAATGAAAGATGAAAAAGGAGCTCTTTAGAATCTGTTAGAAGGGAGAGAGATGAACCTGGTTATCGTGGGCGGGAAGAAGATGGAGCTGATCAGAGTTCAGACTTCAGAGAGACGTTGAGAAAAGCAACGGTCAAAACTTGAGCGAAGCAAAAATTAAAAGTTACAGATTGAAGAGCAAAAAAGCAAGAATTAGATGAAGGGAATATAACCGTCTAAACAATTACCCCTCACTTTGAAAAAAATTTCCTAATTGCCACTTGACCATTGATTCGTTTAGGCTTTCCGGTTCGACCAAGATGCTCCCGCTGCCCAAGATGGGATGCACCTCGAAAACAGATCGGGCTGCCCCAGATAATACAGTGCCACACTGCCACGTCTAACAAACTAAAGGTCCGGATTGTGGTAGTCGGGTTCGGGTTGGGCTAAACAGAACCCAACTAAGACCAATCTGTCCGGTTTGCACGTTTACTTTTACCCATCTGGGTTTCGCACAATGGTCATGGATGGGTGTCCGAAAGTAAAATGGGGTTGAGAGTTGGGATTAAACAAGATGCTCCCGCTGCCCAAGATGGGATGCACCTCGAAAACAGATCGGGCCGCCCCAGATAATACAGTGCCACGCTGCCACGTCTAACAAACTAAAGGTCCGGATTGTTGTAGTCGGGTTCGGGTTGGGCTAAACAGAACCCAACTCAGACCAATCTGTCCGCTTTGCACGTTTACTTTTACCCATCTGGGTTTCGCACAATGGTCATGGATGGGTGTCCGAAAGTAAAATGGAGTTGAGAGTTGGGATTAAACAACCCGAACCAAGAAGATGCCGGGTGGGTCCGAGTAAGGTGAGGGGTCATCTGAAAGGTGTTACTTGTTAGTTGTTACCCCAGTAAAATTCTTGCCGTACGTGTTACGGATGGCCCCAATCATCGTCAGAAGGAATATTGTGTAGCGAAGTGTACGTTGTTGATTTTATCTAGTGATTGGCCCCCACCCAAAATTCCTCGTTGGCAGGTGATTGTACCATTTATGATGACAAGGATAGTCAACATCTTAGTAGTCAGCAAGGCATTGTTTCACACGGTTCAGTCTTCACTCATTGTTGTCAGACCAAGGTTCAAAGTATCGATCGTATCAGTATTTAGAAACGGCCGAAACTCTATTTTTTCTTAATTTTTTTTTAAATTTTGGTTTTTTAGAAAGTTTTTAACATGCTTTTTATTATTAAAAAAATAGAGATCCGAAACATTTGGACCATATCTTTTTCAAAAAATATGAGCATATCGTATCAATACTTTAAACCATGTGCCAGACCAAGATTGATCCGATTAGTCAAACCAAGAAACCGGGTTGCAACTAGAACGGACTTGGGTTGAGAAATGAGAATCCAACTTGCAGTTGCACCCCTAACTGGTGACCCAGTAAAGCTTGTTCTTCTGGGATTTTCTGGGCATTTGCTTCTTTTGATGATTTTCATGTGCTAAATGATTATTGGGGTTAATGGTTAAACCCGGTTTGCTGGTGACTCACTGAGTTTTCTAATTTTGTAATCCAATCCGGGTCTGACAACACGGATTCTACTTTGTTAACGGCGATGTCTTGATCTGATAATGTTGACAATAGTGCCAATTTTAATGGTGGACCCGATGAGGGGGAAAAGTAGCTAAGTAATGGGTAGAGATGGGACCCATTTAATGGTTGAACTAGAAAAGGACAAGTGCTAAGTTAAGGGGCCCACCGCCCACGGTTCCAGGCTTATCAATAAGGATCAGGTGCACAGTTGCACCAGAGATAACCCACCAAATCGTGGGACCCACCATTTTCTTGGACTCCAAATGGAACTTCCAGAGTAATAGTGAGGTTGGCTGATGTGGTAATTGGTAAAGATGGACGAGAGCCAATGAAAGAAAAAAAAAACAGAGAGTTTGGTGGTTTCTTTCTGGGCTTACTTAACTCAGGTGAAAAAAAACAAAAATGGGGAGAGAATTTTTAAAAGCAAAAGAAAGTCGGCCATGAAAAGCAAAAGAGGAATCTGACCCCCATCCCCCATTAAAGCTTCTTTGATGCCTTTGGCAACGAGGCAGTCCAATAAATGCTCCTTCATCGACGTAGAAATATCGAAAATACCTACAGCCTACAGCCTACAACCCAATGTCTCCTCTTTCCACTCTTGTAACCTGCATTGTTTGTTGTATACCTGTCAGACTGTCAGTGGGGGCTGGGCCCGTGGGTCCGATAATTATCAGGTACACCCTGGGCCGAATCCATAAGGACCCAACCGAATTAGTTCACTAAATGGGTTGGGTTAAGTAACTCAAGTAGCTAAGGATCTTTACTGCACGAAATCTTAAACCTCACACAATCCATTCAACATGTCTCATGTTGTTTATGATTTTCACACTTACTATTGGCTGTTCAAGGTTTTCAATTTTACATAGGGTAAGTTACAGATTATATCCTCTACTTTGGAGCATGATTTAAAAAAAAATAATTCGGAAATGGAACTGTTTTGGTCACCTGTTTTTAGGTTGATGGTTCGACCGTCTTGTTCGAACAGATGGTCCATTCTGACAAAAAAAATAAAAATAAATAAATAAATGGCTAAAAACTGTTGAACAGATCAACAGTCCGACCACTTAGATCAACGGGTTGTTGGCTGATTCAACAGTTTTTTCTTTTGTTAGGAATCGGGTTTGGGGTAAAATAGAACCGATTGCCTGAACAGTTTTCAGACTGAATAGTCCAACCGTCTGGGTCAACGGTGGTTTAAAAACATTGCTTTAGAGGCAATGACCTTTGTCTTCGAATTTTCATTTTTCACAAATGCTCTTTCAGATTCTAACATTTCCCCCCAACAGAAGTTAATATTACTAAAATGACCTTTCAAGATTCATATGGACAAGACTCTAGAGGACATCAAAATGATGAAAATGGGCCCAAGACAAAGCACATTATTCCTTTCTGGTCGGATGGGTGAGAAAGAAGAAGAAAGAAACATAAATAAAGGATTTATACAAATATATATACAAGAGAAAGGAAATATGATCCCACAAATTAAGAAAATGGTATTTTGGGATTTAGAAATGTTTAACAAGCAAATGATAGTCACATGAGAATCTTTTTTTTTTTTTTAAGTTAACCCTAATGGATGGTCCATAAGTGTTGGACTCTAAAAATTCTGGGGGAGGGGGGAGGGTAAGTGTTACTATAAAAAGAGCTATTTTGCATACGTGGCAAGGTATTTCAGGCTGAAAATTTTCCACAAATAGAAGGTATGGAGAGGAATTTGGAGATTCCTGTAATTTCCAATCTAATTTTGCACAAGTAAAATTCATTTTTAAATTAGAGAAGCCCGATCAAACTAGAAAAAAAAAAACACAAAAAATCCCACTACCATAGATAAGTTATATTTTATGAATATTTAGATGACAAAAATACCCCCTACTTATATATTTATCTCCTTTTTTACATGTGATGTCTTCATAAAATGTGTCTATACTTGTTAACCTCACAATCCATTTCAACCTGTCTCACCTTGTATTGATGATTTTCACACTTGTTATTTGCAGTTCAATGTTTTTAATTTTTTAATATAAAATTTACCTACAAAAGTGGACTTATTTTGTAAAGAAAGCCCACTTTCATATATAAGTTATTTTTATAAATATTATATGACAAAAATACCACCTACTTCTTATACATTTTCTCTTTCTTACATGTAATTTCTTCATACAAGGTGTCTATGCTTTGCTACTTGACAATTTTATTAATACCAAGTCTATAAATCCAACTATCAAGTTATTAAAACAAACTATCAGGTATTAGCCTGTTAGCTATAATTTGGAATTATTGGGTCAGACCTATTTTGTCATTGGTGCACACCAGGTCTACCCTGACTTGACCCAGACCTAAAGGGTGAACATTTCCAACCCAGCCAAAACTGTAATATATTATTTATATATTAAATATATGTTTTTTATTATATAATATCATATATATAAGTATGACAAGATGACACATAATATATTATATATAATATTTTATTCAAATATTATAGTCATATAATATAAAATATTATATATTTTGTAAAATTTAATTACTGATTTAGGCCCAAAGCCTGGCCCGGGCCCATGGTCACTCCTACCCAGACCTAACTAGGTAAAAGGCGTCCTATGGATCAGTCATGTGTTAATACAGCACCAATACAATACCTTACATGTCAGTTTTACTGAACAATGTTGGTTTAATCTTTTAATTCTGTATTGGAAAAATTCATGGAAAGAATACTTTATATTAAACACGTGATAAAGGTAGTTTTGGTCACTATTGTTAGAATCAGATTGGACATATACCGAAAAAACTCAGAATCAGTATTAACAGTTTAACTGACAGTTAGATCTTTCAGCCCATAAAAAAATGGAGACCCAAAAAAATTCACTGGACCGTTGGCTGAACTCTCTGGTCCAAAAGTTTGGAGTCTGGTAAAATTGGTTTTGAATGAAATATTCTTCATGAACAAAGCTTGGGAAAACAAACAAGGGGCTCCTTTTGAGCCCAAATCCACTCTTTTGCAGAGGGCATGCAGCTTCCATTGATGGGCCCGACCTTAAAGCCCAGTTCAAACATGATGATCTAATGACTTTTAACCAGTGGGTAATATGGCTGTAAAGTAGTTTCTTATCTTCTTTAGTTGAAAAGTGTTTTGATGCAGTCTAGGGTTCTCTTAACTTGCCAACTGTTGGATATGCAAAAGATCAAGAGCCTACATAATGGATCCCTCCAACTTTGGAGTTTTGGCCCATTTATGAGGGCCATGTGACAACTTATGAGGCCACAGACTTTGTAAACCCCAACTTTGGGCTTCAATTTTTAACACTGAGACCCATTCAACCATGGGTTCCTGACTTGCTTGGAAAATGAGAAAGTTACAAGTGAGAGGACTCCAGACCCTTTGGCTGATCCTATAGCCACATGCCCAGGTTTTTACCATTTGAAAGTTCAAAATAAATCACTCTCTTTGTAAGATGTTTGGCAAAGCAGTCTGTTTATGGCCACTTTGGTTTTAACTTGTCATATCAGCATTCCTGCATAAATGGGTGAAAAATATATATTTGAAATTTGAAAATGTTCAAAAGAAAAAGAAAACGGTCATTG